TTCCCCTCCCTAACGCACATGATTCATACCACACCATGTATAGCAACCTTGTAGCCACTGGATATATGGGACACACAGTTCAAACACGAGGTAAGTGCTACGCCATTCCTTCTTCACGTGAAAATAGCACCACAGACACCAGCCGGATTGTTACTGACTTTATTAAGACCGCGCACAGCAGCGCCGAACAGATGTGACGCGACTTACTTTCAAAATAGATTTCTCATATACCCAACAAATATACCGGCGCTATAGTCACCAGCTGTAACCTGGTGTTACGCCACCATACACATCAAGGACGTAGCGATGAAGTATCAGTTACAGTAAAGTAGCCCAGTTGAATTGTTTTTTGACCGCAGCCACTTGATCTGTTCTACGATCGCGCACATACAATCATACAACAATCACGCAGATCAGGTGTTCCCTGTATCAAAGATCGTGTCTTTTTTGGACTGTGTACATCTGTGTTTCGAATGTTTATGTAAGTGACCGTACAGTATACATTTACACGTGTAATATGTCCAATATGTGTACATGTGTAAATAAATCTAATTCATTGGTGGTTTGTCCACATTATTAGGCACATTATACATACCTACAATTCAGTTTTTAGTTTCTATGTTTGTTCTGTGTGTACTTGTCTGCGTCATTTATTCAAGCGGTCTTGTGCCACTCCCTTTCCTGCTGTTATTACAAAAACACTTCACAACCCGAACAATTATCTCTTTATTAAACAATATAATAAACAACTTTTGGATTAAACAAAACTTTCATTATTTTGTCTGGTACAATTTATCTTCAGAGTATAGTATTTATGGTTGTTGGAGGTGACGTGCGGAAGGTCCACCGAGTGCAGCGGTTGCGGCCGCGGGTTCATCTGCGACTGCGGCCGCGGGAGCGTGGAGGACCCAGTCGGGACGGGCACGTAAGTCCTGCTGCTACAGCTGACAGGACTCTCTGGCGTCTATGGGGAGACAGAGGGATCGTCACAAAAAGATAATAATTCAAACACAACGAATGCAAAATAATATTTTTTTTTTCGCGTGTAACAAAGTAAGAAATAGGTAATCATTAGCAATAATAGTGGTTATATATTTCATCGACAGCTTTAATCGTAAAAACGATCGCGACTCCTCACCCTAAGTTACGATATCGAGAATCTGCAGTGAATTCAATATGTATAAGCCTGGTATCATGCAGTCGAAAAGAAGATGAATGGTGGAATCTGTACAGGGCAAGCTCATACACAGTCTGCATGAAAGACTTAGCTACATTCCATATTTCCAATCAAGTCTTCGTCAAATGAAACTGAGATGAACTTTGCGTGGGAAAAAGCCGCAGCAGAAGTGGTTACCTGGGCGGTGATCTCCAGCGTCTCCAATGGTCCCGTGTGTGACTCAGGCGTGTGGAGCATTTCTCCGTCCCCTATTTCATCCAGCGAAGCATTGGTCGAGGGCGAGAGTGGGGCTGAAAGAGTAGTTGTCGAGACTGAGAGTAGGAAATGAAAAGGCCTTGGCAAGTATACGAGAGGGCGAGAGAGAGGAAGGTAAAGTATTGCTTTACTGACTACATAACAATGCAAAGTTAAAGAGGGAGGTTGTATTGTAGATAATCTACGCTACACGTGTATGCATACGCCCTTACATGCACAAACAAAGACACCTGTAAGTGCATATGTATATGAGGAAGATAAGCATTCGCAATTGAGCCTAACCTTCATCTCCAGTACTTAGTTTATTTTTGTCAACATTGACTTCAGGATGCCCACGTCGGTGACGCAGACGTGCACGAGTTGCTAGAGCAAGTATCGTTAAGATGAAGACGAAGCCAACGACGACAGCTATGAACATCACGAGGAGAGAGGAAGATTCTCCAGAACTTGAATTATCTGAAAGAAAAGTTACGTGTTCAGTCTACCTAAGTAATGGGCCCCAGCGGAAACTACTTGTTATTTTTTTCTTACTTTAATCTGTATTTAATAATAAATTATTTTTATCACGCAAATGGCTGTACAAAAAATGGAACTTGATTTCAAATATCCTCATTGTGGCTTGAGGGAAGACTTCGAGGCCCAGGGATTCACGCCCGGTACTCACTTATCTTATTCTCGGCCACCTTGAGGGCGAAGCCCTCGAGCGTGAACGGGGAAGACCTTCCCTTCTGGTTGACGGCCGTGACCTTGACCAGGTAGTCGCGGCCCGGAGCCAGTCCTTCCACCGTCAGGTCAGGCGACGTCGACGTCACATTTGCAACCACCCTCCGCGTTGCTGCGTCCTCAACCTGCAACAATCAGTTGCTGGCAGTCGAAGCAATAACGTTGAACAGGTACATCTGTTCTTACCGTTTATACTGCTTTAAATGTCCTTTTCACACATATACGTATGTTTACATTTATGAATGTGTGTTTGCATGTGCATGTGTGTGTTGTTTATCATTAACACGGCATAAGGAATCCAGTCGTCCTTTTTCTGGCACTCGCAGTGGCCACAGTGAGACGTGCAAATACCGTAGCAATGAAGTGCTGGTCGAGGCCGCCGTCGTGGCCGGGCTGGCACGTCACCACCAGCGACGTCGGGCTTTGGTTGACCAGTGTGCAGGACTTGGGCTTTTCTGGGGGACCTGCTGGGTACAAAACTTGTTAGGTCATTTCACTGTATGAGTCATGGTATTCAGTATTTTGACCTGTTTCATGCAATACAAACAGTCAGCAAAAGATACGGCACTTATACAGTGATATGGGAGTACAGTATTGAGGCTGCAGTCAGCACCCGTTGTATGGCGAGCAACAAACAAGAGACTGTAGTGTTTGCAGGACTGACGAATCATGCACATGACCAGTCCGGAGGAAGAGCAGACCTGCGGGGCTGATGACGAACATGCACGGCAATCTCTGCTTCCCGGCCTTATTGCTGCCGAGGCAGAAGACGACGCCGTAGTGGTCGGTGCCGTGGGCATGCGTGCTGGGGCGGTACACGAGTGTGGAGGACCGACTGCGGCTGCTGTAGCTGCTGCTGTCCAGCTCCTTGACGCCGCGGCTGCTGTTGATCTTCCACACAAACGTGACCTAAGGGCAGGCAAGGGTTTGGTTATTAGTAGATACGACGTTAAAGGAATAAACACCGGGTAGTAAATATAACCATACATAGACAAAAGAAGTGACGAAAGTACAAAAAGTACTCACATCAGGCGGATTGGCTTCGACCAGGCAATTGAGTTTGACCTCTTCGTTTGGGGTCACTGACACTGTCTCGTTCCGTGGCTTCTTGCACTCCGGTGCAACTGTAGAGAGAAAGCCTTTTGTTTCTTTTGATATTGTAAAGTGGTGTCCTCCTTTTGACAACTCATTAACAGTGACTCCTTAAACTTTACCGAAATCAATAATTAAATCAGCTTCCACGAGTTTTTAGTTGTAGGCCTCTGTAGGCACATTGCGTGTAAATGTTTAATGAGCGTAAGATGCTATGCTTAGAACCATAACGTTTGCGCTTTACACTGGATCACAAAAAAGTCACCCGGATTACAATATAGTCAGAGTGTGTGCCACTGCATGCCATTAGGTTTATAAGACGAGATCTTGTTGCATAAAGCAGAACTCTCCTATGCATACTACATTCATACAGTTGCCTTACACATGACGTTAAGGGTCGTGGCGGAGCTGGTCACAGTGTCGATGGTGTTGGTGACGCGACACTGGTACCTTCCCTGAGCGTGCCGTGTCACCCTCTGCAACACCAGGTTCTGCCCCTGGACGAGCACGTGGTCGGCCATCATGGCGTCATCGCTGTCGCCTCGCAACTCTCGGCCCTGGCGCACACAGGGAAGAAAGGAGAGCGAGAGAGTGAGTAGTACACACACACATGGACACTCATTCACTATCTCTTCCTTAAAAAGAGTGTGACATCCTTTTCCTTCCATTACACAATGCCATAACTTTCTACATATAACACTACTTACCTCATGTAGCCATATGACTCTCGTCTCCTTGGGGTTTGCTTGAATAACACACTCAAAATAAACATCAGCCTTTTCCCAGATGTTGTCAGGGTCTAACGCCGGCGCTAGTCTGACGGACACTTCGGGAGCAACTGCGGGGAGAGAGGAGGACTCTGATGCTCGGATATCGTTCAGGCACACACACACACACACAACACACACACACACACACACACACACACACACACACAACACACCACACACACACACACACCACGCACACACACACACACACACACACCACACACAACACACGCGCACAAACACACATACACACGCACGCACGCAAATACACATACACACATAAACACACAGACACACCCACACACATGCACATGCATACGCACGCACAAAAACGCCGCACATACACAAACACACACACACATAAACACACACACGTACACGCGTATGTACGCACAAACACATACACTATAACATGAAGTATTGTGTTTCTTTTTATGTTGTAGCATTAACTCGTTGAATATATTCTACGAATGCCTTCGATATTGCCCTGATCCATCAAATCTGCAATTTCTTCTTTGCATGCCATCCGTTCTGCATGATAATCAGGGATCGGTGAACTTTTTCGGGAATTATCCAAAAGCTAATGGTGCAAAAATATATTTACCCCAACTTCAAAGTGAACCGTCTAAAGTCTGTGCCACAACCCAATTCAGTCTTTTACGCCTAAGCAGCGGCCGTAGCTACAGCCACAAACGTACACTTTTAATCTGGTTTTAGATCGTGCGACTCTTTTCGGTCACACTAAAATATCGACTCAGGAGAAACTGTGACATTTACAGCAAAAAAGTTTGCTCTCGTCTCTTGCTGGGAGGGCCGGCTTTCAGAAGTTTGCCGGGTCTCCTTTACCCCCGAAATTTCCCCCGCTTTCCCTGTCCCTAGTATAAATGAGTCAACTGAAACATCACGCATTTCTTTTTTAGCTTACATACTACGATTAAAAGAATGAATGTTGGGCAAATCATAGATAATTAAGGCAAGGTGTAAGAGTTCCCGAAGTCACCAGGGCGCGGGTCCTATACTCACAGAGCACCTGTAGCGTGTGAGTGCTGTTCAGGGAGTATTCTTTCACTTTGGGGTTGGAGGCCGTGCAGGTGAGGGCGCGGCCGTTGTCTCTCGGCGTCGGGAGGAGGCGACCTCGGCCGATGGTGGTGTTCTGGTCCAGCGAAGACTGCAGAGGAGTGAGGCCGAGAGAGATTGTGAGGGAGATGCGTCTATGATCATGAAAGTTATGAGGAAGGTTAAGAAAAAGACGTGTCGATTAAGATTAATCCATGGGGGCATAATGAAATGAGATTGACCAGAGAGGAGAGACCCACCTGAGCAGGCAGAGGCATGAGGCTGGAGGAGCCGTGCAGCCGCCAGGAGAGGGTGGCGGTGGGGAGGGAGCCGACGGAGCGGCACATGAGGATGGCCTCGATGCCGGCGCGGAGCGGGGCGTCCAGTCCGTCCACCGTCACCTCCAGGGGCGGCACTGCAACGGGGGTTGGTCAGAGGAGCGAAATTACGGGAGCCCGCCAAGCCATCGCCACCAACAACAGAACTAAATATAAATGTTTTCTTTTATGTTCTTTCTCTCTCCTTTGTTTCCAACAAGGCTGCGCTGCTTATAATTTTAGAGTTCACAATATACTTTAAATGGGAGAGAATATCCCGAGACGATGTGATATCCGTTCAAAATCAAACTATGCAAAATGAATACAGCATTTCGCCTAATGGACGCAATGCGGTTGGAAGTCGTGTTAAACATCTTATTAAGGCTGCTATAAGTATATTACGCAAACAACTACCCCTGGGGCATTATGCATTTAAATAGAAAATTAGGTTCTTCAAACATTTACTTAAATCATTACTTCAAATATGTTACATGTTGTGAACGAAAAGTATTCAGCATTATGCTCGATGTTATCTACACGCACAAGTTTCGCCCCTCTATTAAACGAAGGTAAATGTGTGTATGTATATCCGTTTGAATGCCTGTATATGCTGCAAACTGCGTCGGAAACAGACTTGCTGCGAGAGAGTTCAGTCTGTCCCTACTATTTCGCGCAGAATAAAGTTCATTATTCATTTCGTCGCTGTCCTTATTGATCTCGGGAGCATTCTATGTGCAAATGTCACTGCTAATTCCATTACCTGCCATCTTTGACTGACACTTCCCCAAAGACTCTTCGAAATTTATCCCAAGGAATATTGCTTTACGAATCGGACTTCAACCTTGAGTCATGCTAACCTTCTCACACCTGTTGGAGCGACATCGCATGACGCTGCTGGGGGCCGTGAGTGGGTTTGATGTGCATGTCGATCTCCTGACCAAGATTGCTGTATTATTCATCGCCACATGAATATCTCCGGTTATCGTTAAATATTATTCCACACTGAGCTGCAACCAATGTCTGTAGGATTTATATTTTTTCGATATTTCCGAATGACTTGCTATCAGTCTGATCTTACGCCACAAAGACTACAGTGTTTTAACGTCGTCTCTTTTAGAAATGGACATGACGAAGGCAAAAAGGGACTCCCACTCCATCCTCACATCGTAATGCGTGCGGCTGACCAGAAGAAAAATGATCTCTTTTATAACGTATCAATGAGTTCTATTCTTCCATTTTCGCGCCGTTATTGACCATCGTCAACGGTACGAGATTAAAATGAGATTTACCTTTTAGGATAAGAATTTGACCAAGAAAACAACCGCGCCTGGTTAATTAAGTTAATGCAGGAGCTTGCATTGCTTATTGCAAAAAAGTGCTTTGGGGAGCACACAGTATTCCAACCCAGTTAAGGTGCAGTTATATTTGGAATCTCATGTCTTTTTTTATCTCATACTTGTCATATCATACACGCAGGCATCTATATGTATTGGGAAATCTAGGCTTTAGAAGTACTTTGTATAGTAAGAGCTTTCGAAAATTCCATCAATCTAAGGATGGAAGGACAGGGAACATAAAAGCTAATATGATATGGGCGAGAGAGTTCTTTGTTGCCATCAGATGCCTGCTAAATCATATCACCACAAATACCTTCCATGCCTCGAACACGCTAAAAACCATCTAGTTGTAAAATTTAGTCCTGGATCTAACTAGCTCCTTGGGATTTCTCCTGGATCTCACTTGCTCCTTAAGATTTCGGCAAAAATAGAAAAAAACAAGATTAGAAATGACTCAATTTGCAGCCTGCTACATCCGCCTTGACTGGGACTAGGCTCCTGGAAATTTCCATTAGGACGCAGAAATAACTTGAATACTGCAGAAACGAGTTTATTTTTAAAAAGTTATTCATTTATCCATTTCAATGTAAGTCAAAATAATATCAGTGACAAAGCATATGAATATTTTCAAACCTAAATTGCATAACAAATGTTAGTTGATCAACTAATATGCAAATGAACTAAATTATTCGAAGCCTATGATTCGACTAGTCCAAGAATGTAAACTGAAGCCGAGAATTGAAGCAAAATGAAGTTAATAAGGAAAAATGGTATGTGAAGATGTTATATATATATATATATATATATATATATATATATATATATATATATAAATCATGGTCTTGGGTATTGGTTGGCACGGATTGGAAAGGGAACTTAGGCCACAGATAGGAAAAATGAAAGTAACAAGTATAGGAATAAAGAGGAGGTGGGGAAGAAAGGGACAAAAAGGGCAGTATGATAAACATTAGGAGAAAATATGGCCAAAAAATATGTTAAACTGAAAACCGAGTCGAAGAAAGGCAAATGACAGATGAAAACTTACTCAAGTTATAACAAAGACATACAATAAGAAAAATACTAAAGAATGTTGAAAGACGACGATTGAATATATATATATAATATATATATATATATATATATATATATATATATATATATATATATATATATATGTGTGTGTGTGTGTGTGTGTGTGTGTGTGTGTGTGTGTGTGTGTGTGTGTGTGTGTGTGTATATCAAGAATGGAGAGAGAGAGAGACGACAGCGGCGATAAAAAGGGATGCAACCAGATATGGCCAAGAGGCACACTTACAGTACATGTCGATGGTGACGACGCGGACCTTCTCCTGCGTCAGGTTGGTGTTGGACGCGACGCACTTGATGTCGCGGCCGTTGTCCTTGCGCTGGAGGCCCGGGAGGTGCAGCGTCACGTCGACCACCCGCACGGCCTCGCCTCGCTCCGAGGGCGACTGGGCGCTGTAGTGCTGCGCCGAGGACGTCTCCAGAATCCTGTCGCCGTCCATCCACCGGACCACCGGCGGAGGGTGACCTGCAAGGCCCGACCTGTCATGTCATGGGCCGAAGGTGTGTATGTGTGTGGGGGAGGTGGGGGGGGGGGTTCTCTGTCTGGTGTCTCCGTATCTGTATATGTTTCTGCATGTTCGTACGGATGTGTACATGAATGTGCGAACCTCTGTCCCCGGAACAGACCTGCAGTCCGTCCGTCCACCAGGCTCTATCAAACGAATGACTCTCGTTAGTCCCCAGTCACAGTCGCCCCCGAACCCATAGAGGAAATCCTCGGCCTCATCCGGCTCCCTGTGCGAGTCCCGCTCTTCTAAAGTCCCTCTCATCCCGCCGGCCTCGCTGATTTCTCTGAAGCCATCGCGGAAGGGCGCCGCGGCTCACTGCTCATTAGTGCCTCAATTATAGGATAACCCTTACGTGCATTTGTTACATAATACGCTGGCACTTAGGACGTTGACTAATGTTACATGCTTGAATGTGTGTGTATCAAAATTTGCCTTAACGGATATAAAGGTAAGGAAATGTATATCAAGCTTTTTATTATCATCTTTCACTTTGTGTTTGGGGAATAAAATCAGTGTTGCTTCTACTACCACAATAAAACTATGGCAGCTCTTTTATCACTACAACTTCCAAAACTACTACTAAAAATGTATCTGCCAAATTACTACTTTCACTGCGACTGCTAATACAACTTCTATTGCTACAAGCTCCACCGGCACTCCTATTACTACCGCCACTACTCCCACAACTTCCTCGGTTACTAGATCGAGCAAACCGTTCGAAACTTCGAGCCCAACAACTTCAAACCCTTTCCTTGAGCAGAAACGCTACTGGAACTCACACGCTACCTCTTTCGAATGATAACAATAACAACTACGCTCCTAAGGTCGACCTAGGGAAGCCACACCTCCTAATTAACCACAGGCACCGAAGCAACGAGACGGGAAAGGCTAGATCAGTAGCAACTCCAGGGGGTGTCATGGCGTCTGATTCTATTTTTGGAGAAAAAAAACATGGGGTTTATTTTGATGACGTCACAAAAGTTACGGATGCTTTGTAAATATGGTCGATCATTTTGGTCTCTTCAATTTCCGAAAATGATGGAAAATAATGATTCAAATGGTAATATTTTCATCAAAACAGACGCCATGACACCTCCTCGAGTTGCTAATGATCTAGCCTTTCCCGCAGCGAGACACTCACCTCCGTACGCCCGACACGACAGCATCACTCGGGAAAGCAGCTTGTAAGGACCCACGACCTTGCCGATCATGGTGCCATAGGCGTCGAACACCTCCAGGTCCTGAATCTCCTCTGGAATGGAGGGAAGGGGATGGTGAGGGGAAGGGTCATGGTAGTCATGGTGCTGATGTGATGGTGATGGGTGTGAGGATAATGATGATGATGACTGGTGATGATGATGATAGTAACTGATAATGATGATGATGATGGTGACGAAGATGATGATGTTGAGAGAGAGAGTGAGAGAGAGAGAGAGAGAGAGAGAGAGAGAGAGAGAGAGAGAGAGAGAGAGAGAGAGAGAGAGAGAGAGAGAGAGAGAGAGAGAGAAATAAATAAATATATAAATAAATAAAGAGAGATAGAGAGAGAGTTAGAGTTCTCATGCACCGTTTGCCGCTGTACTAACCGTGCACCGTGAGCTGCAGCAAAGACATCATGGTCTGCGAAGTCATGAAGTCAACCCTGCAGGTGTAGTTCCCGGCGTCAGCGAGAGTGACC